TCTCTCTCTCTCTCTCTCTTTCTCTCTCTCTCTCTCTCTCTCTCTCTCTCTCTCTCTCCCTCTATGCCTCAGAAACCGCCCCCCATATTAACACAAAAAAAATAAAAAATAAATTGATTTCTTGTAACTTTGGCGCCTGGACCAGGACCAGGACCAGGACCAGGACCAGGACCAGGACCTGGACCTGGACCGGGGGTGCGTCTCTCCATGATCAGTCCATTTGAGGATCATTCGGGTCCTTTCTTGGCTCTGTTTGTTTGCTGAGACTTTTCACAGCTCGGTTTCTCGCAGCTTGTTTTAACAGATTTCCATGTGAAGAGCTCCACAATCAGCTGTGATTGTGTTGCGACTGTAATACCTTTGATCTGCGATGTTTGAAGCCCGGTGCCAAACGCTGCAGCGCGGACAACTGGCGCCAGGTCTCCCCGGGGATCCAGCCAGGGCGCGCACACACATACACACACACACACATACACACACACACACACACACACACACGCACACACACACATACTGTATAAGACCAAAAACCTCCCCAAAAAAGCCAAAGTCTGCAGAGATTATGGAGTCTGCGAAACGCCACCACAGCAATATTCACGCGCGGGGTATTGACGTAAGTTGACGTAATAACACGCAGCAGCAGGAGATATCAATAAGAGGCCTACGTTACAGCACACAGGATCAGAAGTGTTTTTTGTGCCATTTTAAGTAACAGGAAGTCACAACTATAGGAATTCGCTTTGGCTCAAGGTTCAAACAAGTTGTATGAGTAAAAAAAGTCATGCATCAAAAAAAATCTTCATAAAATGTCTTTAAACGACTAAATACACGTGCCGTATTTAGGGACACACAATATACTTTCATTTAGTTAGTTATTTTGAATACATATTTTTCCTTTTATCAGAGTAACAGACACAAAACGTGCCTTAAAGTGACAGTAGTGACAGTAAAGTCTATGTACATTCAAAAGTCAAAATGAAATCCAATGCCATTTATTTGTATTGCGCATTTTATAAAAACAAGTTTCCAAAGTCTCCAGTTTTTTACACAAAGAAAATAGAGCAGGATCTGACTTTGTGTTTTGGACTCAGGACAAAAATGAGGAGTACAAATAATCAGATTCAAACGCTCTAAAGTCACAAAGACAAGTCCATTTTTATTCAGTCTATAATAAATATCTCCAGGGCTGGTGTCTCTGGTCTGACGTCATATAGAGAAAATCTCTGTTTTCCTCCATTCTGCCTTAAAAACTGAAATTAAAGTCAGTTTTTCAGTTCTTCTGTGTTTGAGATCACTGCCTCAGTCTGTGATTTTTATGACAGAAGTAAGATAGATTAAAAAAATAACGAACATATCAAATATCTGTCCGTATGGGTGAAGTTTATTGCTCTCTATGGGTTTTATACATGAATACAAGTAGAGCTCAAAACAACACAATACATAGAATTAAAGGCGAGACTGTGCTGTGTTTTTACTTGTTAGTATTAGATATCAATATGGCCTACGTGCAGGACTCTACAAGGACTCTGATTATTTTGACTCTGATGTGACTGTCTCTGTGTGACACGTCTTTCCATGTGTGACGTGACAATGACTATATAAACTGTGTACGGACTCCATTCTGTCTGAGAGAAAGAAACAATGGAAACCACTGGAACTTGAGAGAAACTTAAATAAACTTCCAGAGTTTGGCGCACCACGATCCGTCTCTGTCTGCTTCATCCCTGACAGATTCTTACACAAATGGATTCACATCGACTCTTTCATTTTGGTCGTGATTGATTTTCGGCCCAGCGATCGGTGGTTTCACGGGTCAAACGGTCGGGTCGGGTCATTTACTTTGGATGAGTTTGGGGTTTTAGACTGACTGTAATTTCAGCTCAATAATGACTCGTGTTGAGCCTAAACTTACATTAGACACAAGTAATGTTTTATAACAACTTCAGCCAGTTACAGACAACAAATGTGGGCTCTTTTTTTGGTACAGCCATAAATCTCAACGGCAGTCGTCTCGGGGGACTTCAACAGTTGCTGATTCACCAACAACAGATCCCACAGATAAGATTAGGAATTTCCTCTGATCCAGATTTTCAAGAAACCTCAGAAGTTTTTCGAGTTTTTCAGCTATTTGACTTTTCTGATTCATGTGCAGCTGTGTTCTTCTGTTGGAGAGATCGAGAGATGAAGAGATCAGAGGAAATGCCAGTGTTGCATCAGAAGTTACAGAACAGTGAGGAGCAGATTCAGTTTATTTGACATTTGCAGTAAAACCCCGTTGGAATACATGTGCAAAAGTCCCCAGTATGCACCAGACGAGTAGCAATCAACACGATATAAGACAAGTCAATACTACACATAGAGCTCTATCATACTTTATCATATTTTTAGTTATTTAACATTTTATTCAGACGCACACAGAGAGTCCATGTAACACAAAAACATACAATATTTATTCTGTAAGGACAGTTTCTCCAATGTCTCCAGAGTTCAGACGCTGATGTGCATGAGAAGTAAAAACATCCAATTTTACACTTGCCGAGTCCTCAGAGCGTTTTATGAACTTATAACGTTTCTGATCCCAGTTTTCAGTTTGGGGACATTATCATGAACAAACTGATCGCTCTCTTTAGCTTAATGTCGGAGGAGGATTCTTATTTTGACAATTGGGAGGACCAGTGGTGTGGAAAATCATTTGCACACAGACGGGATCTTTACACACCAGAGCAACCCGGAAGTTTATTCAGTTTCCTTCAGTTTTTCAGACAGAAACAAGTATAGACATGCTCCATAAAGTCACAACATACGTGTCACATCAAGAGACATTAAAAGACCATATTAGACTCATAACACGGATCAGAGCAGATACATAATCGGAGTCACTGTGACCTACACAAGGCAGAATAACTTGTGAATAAGAAAGTAAAGTTTATTTGTAAAGCGCATTTCACAGACCAGGATCAATCCCGCACGCCGTCTTACTTGCAAATTAGTAGTAGTAGTAATCTTTATTTATATACCGCCTTTTCACTGCAGAGTCTCAAAGCGGTTTACAATTGTTATTTTTGTTTTTTTATTTGGGCATTTGTCCTCTCACTCCACACAGAGATGGTAGGGGCCAGTACAGGAGGCGCATGCCAGACCTATTGTACATATTTTTTGTGGTAGGGGAAACCGGAGTACCCGGAGGAAACCTACGCAGACACGGGGAGAACATGGAAACTCCACTCAGAAAGGCCCTGGTCCGACCGGGATTCGAGCCCAGGGCCTTCTTGCTGAGAGGCGAGAGTGCTATTCACTCAGCCACCGTGCCGCCCTTGTCGCCAATTAAAAACTTGTGGGAAATCGGACTCAGACATACTGGGATCCAGTGCATCCAGCTTGGTTGTTTATTCACAAAAATGGTGGTTGATTCAGTCAAAGCAAAAGTCAAGACATGGTTTTATAGTCATTGTCACGTCACACATCGAAAGACGTACGTGTCACACAGAGACAGTCACATCAGAGTCAAAATAAGTCCTGCACGTAGGCCATATTGCTATCTAATACTAACTATCTATTTGAAGTGCCACGTTTCGGCGTTATGCCTTCATCAAGCAAACATGACACCAGGATCACAAAGCGCATAAAATACACATACAAGTCAGATTTAAAAACAAAAACACAGTAAAACAGTTCACAGAGGCTTATGAACCATCTGTACAAATACATCTGAAGTTGGGACCTCAAATCATCAACAGAGACTGAGGAAGCTCATTCCGGAGCTGAGGAGCAACTGCCTGGAAGGATCTGTCTCCTCTGGGTTTAAGATGAGTGCGCGGGACCATCAACAGGTTCTGAGTGGAGGACCATCAACAGGTTCTGAGTGGAGGACCATCAACAGGTTCTGAGTGGAGGACCATCAACAGGTTCTGAGTGGAGGACCATCAACAGGTTCTGAGAGGAGGACCATCAACAGGTTCTGAGTGGAGGACCATCAACAGGTTCTGAGAGGAGGACCATCAACAGGTTCTGAGTGGAGGACCATCAACAGGTTCTGAGTGGAGGACCATCAACAGGTTCTGAGTGGAGGACCATCAACAGGTTCTGAGAGGAGGACCATCAACAGGCTCTGAGAGAAGGACCATCAACACTGAGAGGAGGACCATCAACAGGTTCTGAGAGGAGGACCATCAACAGGTTCTGAGTGGAGGACCTCAGGTTCCTGTTAGAGACATGGGGGCGGGGTCAACTGTCTATTTCACATAATAGTCTTGATGATCCACCCGGAACTCAAAAATCCTCCTATATACCTATATGTGCATTAAGTATAAACAAAATATACATTTGTATATTACTGTATTTTCAATAGTGCAAAGAAATAGACAGTGTTTTGTACTTGCTTCTGTATTATGCTAATGTTGGAAATGTTTTAGTATTTCATTTTTTTTAAAGTCTAGTGTTATTGTTCCTTTCTCTTGTCCTGTGAGCTCCTCTTCCCCACTGTTCTGTAACTGCTGATACAACACTGACATTTCCTCATATATTTTCTATAACTTCTCTTTAGTATGATGCGGTGTGTTGTCTGCTCCTCTTGTCCACGGCAGCGGCCTTGAATACGGGACCATTTGTATCTCAATTGGATTTCCCTGGTTAAATAAAGCCTTGGTTTAGAATAAGCCTTTACAAAGACCCTCCGCTCTCGGCCTGACACCTGCGCGCACAGCTCCAGATGAAAGCCTCCTCTCTGCAGCGCTTCTCCGGGACATGTATGAGCTCGGGACGGTTCTCACAGACTCGGTGGCGCCAGGCTCCTCACACACTACAGGAAATGCAAAGACATCAATAACGAACCATTAAGGCCTCCTCTTTAGGGATCGATCAGACAGTAACAAGCGGGGTCTTTACATATGCAAACAGGCTGCTTTAAAGGGGGGGCACCTGGGTCTGTCACTGTACTTAAACCCCACATCACCCCTAAGATAGTCACACATCACTCCAGCGCTGGACCTACTCCCGCAAACATGGTCAAATTCTTGTCTGTGGACTGGCTCGCTCAAAGCCACAGCTGCGACAGTGGAGCTCGGATTGGGGAAAGCCAAATGGATACAGCGTTTAAACCACATATACCCTGCATGGTGCAACCTTCTGCGCCTTCGTATGGGAAAGGATACCTCCAGCTAAAAGCTAAAACTGGAAAAAATGCAGATTTGGAGAGAAACAGCGAGTCAGGCCTGTGCTCTCCCCGCGCGTCATGCACCTCGCCAAGTAAGTTTACAGCTTCCTCATATTCTCAGCTTCGCCATAAACAGAATTTTCTTTACTTGTTCAGTATTTTAACAGTCTGTATGTGTGTTGTTCAGTTTCAGAAATCAGCGAGTATTCCTCTGGCTATGAGAGCGAGGCGGCCTCCTCGGAGTGCTCAGCCTCAGAGGACGTCAGTGAGGCCGGGCTGAACCAGCGACGCGTACGCACCAAGTTTACTCCGGATCAGATCAGCAGACTGGAGAAGATCTTCCTCAAGCACAAGTATTTGGACGCGGGGGAGAGAGTGAAGACGGCGCAGAAGCTCAAGCTCACGGAAACTCAGGTGAGAATCCCACAGAAAGCTCATGGATGGCCTTTACGCGCGGGGTTAGGTTTTACGCACTTGGTTAGGTTTTACGCACGGTTACGCATGGGCTTTGGTGTGTTGCTGTTATGTTGTTTTAAAAGACAGAAGGTTGGTACGTGTTTGCCAGAGCCCAGTTCTGTATCAGTCAAATGGAAGTGTATGAATTGGTTTGGTTCTCTGTAGTTTTCGGTTCAGCCTTTGTCACCACGTTTCTTCAACAGAAAAGTGGTGAAGAGAAAGGACTTTACCCTCATTCAGCCAATCAGCTCTCAGCCCAAAACGTGACATACTGACTCAAAGGGATCTTTCATATCAATATAATAACTCTGAGCTTATTTGAAAAGTACTAGCATTTTTTTTATTCTATACTAACTTAATCTGAAAGAAATGTTGACACTGCTTACACTATTTTTGATCCAAAAACACACACATTTTGAGTTTAAAATCAATATTTAAAACCTCAATCCACATGAACTAAAAGCACGGCCTCTCTATTGTGCTCTATATTGGAGGATGTGTTTTATTTGTCATTTTGAGGTCTGATAGATTCACTTTTTGTCCCTGTTTCCAGATGATTGGTAGATAAAAACATATGCATTTATAGCTAACCAGGAAGTAATATTACAAACACAAACCTACAATCTGGCCAAAAACATGAAGCTAAACACTTATCGTGGTAGTAGTTTTTCAGATCTTATACATTATAGTAAAAATAAAACAAAAATGTGGATACAGTACTTAAGGGCGTGTCACATGGACTTATTTAAATGGATTTGTTTTCGGGAAATGTTTAATGATGAAACATTTTCTCTGGTTCTTCCAGATCCGGACGTGGTTTCAGAACCGGCGCATGAAGCTGAAGCGGGAGGTCCAGGACTATCTGACGCCTCAGGTCCCACCCATGCTGCTCCACGCCTTCCCCCCAACGCTGCCCTATCACTACCCCCATCCTCACCCTCACCCCCACACTCACCCCCAGACTCACCCCACATCTGGCCCTGGATTCTACCCTGGGCCCCCGCCACACATGCTCCACCATCACCAGCAGACTATGGTCCCTCAGTCCATGGTTCCCCAGTCCATGGTCCCCCAGTCCATGGTCCCTCAGTCCATGGTCCCTCAGTCCATGGTCCCCCAGTCCATGGTCCCTCAGTCCATGGTCCCCCAGTCCATGGTCCCCCAGTCCATGGTCCCTCAGTCCATGGTCCCCCAGTCCATGGTCCCTCAGTCCATGGTCCCCCAGTCCATGGTCCCCCAGTCCATGGTCCCCCAGTCCATGGTCCCTCAGTCCATGGTCCCCCAGTCCATGGTGCAGCAGCCGATGCAGACCCACTTTTACCAATGAGCTGCAAACCTGAACTTTACCAAAGAGACTTGACTGAAACACAGAGATCTGCATCAAGTGTAAATACAGAGAGTTCTAGAATCTATTTATAAAGAATAAAGTTGTATGTTATAAGTTTAAACACTGTCTACGGTCGTCATTTTCTACTTTTTGATTCCTTTGTTTTAGTTTCCTTTTCCATAGATGAAGATGAAGAGATCGTAAATGTCAGTGTTGCATCATCGGTTACATAACGACAGGAGCACACGAATGAACAATAAATTATATACAATAAAAGACTATCTATAATAACGTAATATGTATTTGTTATAACATACTAATACAATAAATTAGAACTTTATCACAAAAGACAATAAGTGTAAAATCCTGTTTGGTGCTAGTGTTGATAATAAAAGTAATATTTATACAGAACTTTTCAGGACTCTCAAAAACACTTCACATTATTATTCTTTCACTCCAAACACAGTGATGATAAACTACTACTGTAGCCACAGCTGCCCTGGGGCATGACAGGAGCGAGGCAACCAGTCTGTGCCATCGGCCCCTCCCACCACCACCAACCATTCACACACACACCAGACTCTCTGTAAAAAGTGTTGCTTAAATAATCATAAGTTGTTCCATGGGTCTTTGTGTCCAACTTCAGCTCTTTATCAAGTAATAACAGATATTACATAAAATTTGACCAAATGTAAAACTATAACTTTGAAGAGATTGATTTTCTTAATATGTGTTTGTGTTCATTCAAAGCAAATTATAATTTACAGGAGGAAACCTTCACAGACACAGGGAGAACATGCAAACTCCACTCAGAAAAGCCTTTTATGCCAAGAAGCGAGAGGCCTCATTTAAGCCTCGTACAGTGTCACATGACCTCTGTCACATGACCTCTGTCACATGACCCCTGTCACATGACCCCTGTCAGTGCTGCGGCCACATGGTACTTTACCAGTGAGATTAGCTCGACGTGGTGAGTTCTGGCGCCCGGATGACGTCAGACGTTCTGATTGAGGGATTGAGGACGGTGGAGGGCGGGACATGGAAATGAAAACAATAACAAGATTTAGGGGCTGGAAAAGTAATTTAGAAATTTGAATTGACTGAACTCAACATCAGTCTCAGAAACAGCTCATCACTTCATGGCTGCATTTAAACGGAGCCTCTCAGGTCTTTGCAGCTTGAGCTGCTGTTCGAGCAGAAACCCACCTCCTCCATCACCTCTTCAGTGGAGTGTCATGTCATGTCTCTGACTCAGATTCTTTGCCACCAGGTTCTAGGCCCCGGGGGGTCGCAAGCTCTAGTTTCTATGAAACTCCCTTCTGCATTGGTCATGCAGTAACCTCGCCAGGGTCTACCTGCATATCCTAATACAATAAATATAGAACTCATATATTGCATTCATGCATCTCTAAAATAAATACTCTGATGCAATCTTTGCCCCAAGTGTCTCCAGACTGAACTGTTGTCAGTTAAAAAGGTAGAAAAGAGTATGTTTCATAATGACATCATGACTTGACATGAAAATCTTACAAACTGCTTCTTTAAACTATTTTACATCAAAGTCTGGTCTGATGCACTTTTTTACAGTGCAAAGTGATTCTATAAAACTGTCACTACCTGGAAATATGCAGCTCATCTTAATCATGGATATTATTAAATGCAAAGTGGAATAATGGGCTATGGGGCATTTCCCTTTCCTTCTTCACAAAAGCTGTCGCAACACATTTGGAGTCAAAGAGCAGAGTCTTTTCACATGGATGAGGCGTCATTAGCACCGGGTGGACCTCCCCGCGGCCCTTTACAACAGCCGCAGCTGATAACGCACTTTAAACCCTTCAGATCCAAACCGACACGATGGATCAGCTCAGAACATTAACATGGAGGGTTTCTCTTATCGCGCCGCATTGTGTGGAGCCGCATTGATCCGCGGTGATCCGGGCCCTAAGCCGCGGCTCAGTGATGTCACATGTCTGATGAATATGTCCATTTTGTGTTTGGATTCTGTCATAACAATGGATTGGTCAAGACTGCGCGGATTCACTCGATACATCACGGGAATAATTGTACATTTATATAAAACATGTAGCGACATTATAGAAGATTGTGTGTGTTTTATAAAGTTCCACTCCCTCAGTCCAGGATCCACAGCCTCCCCAAGATTTGTTGCTTTTTCCCAATTGAATTTTTTGTAAGAGTTGTCCCTTGTAGAAGTGGGACGGTGATGATTCAGGAAATTTATTTATGAACATTTTTGGACATCATCCCGCGCCCTTTGTTCCAATGGCTCCTGTGTTTGTTGTTATTGTTGTATTTCCGGTATTTTAAGTTTATTATTCTCTGATCTGCAATAAATCAAAAAACTCTATTCATGAATTTTGCATTAAAACAATGCAACGTCAAATTATTGACGTTAAAACCCTTTTCAAAATGCGGATTAAAGAGAAAATATTAATACAGAATATAATGTCCACATTTTAGCTGATTTTTTTTCAGGCTAGTCTTGAAAGGTTCGGGTAGAGGCCTGTCTCACAACCTCAGGAATACTGTTTCAGAATGTATTGCTTAAATCTGAAACCCTGCCTGCCCTTTAGTCCGGACTCTGAGAAGGAGGCCAGTCCCTGTGCTCCTCAGAGTCCCAGCAGGAGGCCAGTCCCTGTGCTCCTCAGAGTCCCAGCAGGAGGTCAGTCCCTGTGCTCCTCAGAGTCCAGGAGGCCAGTCCCTGTGCTCCTCAGAGTTGGTACAAATGGCTCTATATGTCACGGATGTACTTTGGTGTGAGGCCATGGAGAGACTTGTAACAATCAGAGCTGTTTCAAAGTCTCTTCTCTGAGCCACATGAAGCAGAGACCTGAGACCAGGACTAATGTGACAGGTGACAAATGAGACCGTCATTTGTCACCTTCAGTCTCTCTCCCTAAGGCCTTTAAATAAGGTCAGAAATCTGGGAGTAATAATGGACTCTGACTTAAACTTCAATAGCCACATTGGATCGGTAACATCAGCAGCTTTTTATCATCTGAAAAATATTGCCAAAATTAAAAATATTGTGTCCAGGGCAGACTTGGAGATTCTTATCCATTCTTTTGTTTCCAGTAGGCTGGATCACTGCAATGGCCTGCTCACAGGTATCTCCAACCATGCAGTAAAACAGCTGCAGTACATTCAAAATGCTGCAGCCCGAGTCCTGACTAGAACCAGGAAGTACGACCACATTAGTCCGGTCCTCAGGTCTCTGCACTGGCTTCCCGTGGCCCAGAGAATAGACTTTAAAGCAGCTCTCCTGGTGTACAAGTCTCTCCATGGCCTTGCACCAAAGTACATCCATGATATGCTAGTCCCATATGAACCAGCCCGGACTCTGAGGAGCACAGGACGGGACTCCTGTTAGTGCCCAGAGTCAGGACTAGACAGGGGGAGGCTGCTTTTCAGATTTATGCAGCTAAAGTCTGGAACAGTCTTCCTGAGGATGTGAGACTGGCTGCCTCTCTGTCGATGTTCAAATCCATGTTAAAGACTTTTCTTTTTTCCTGTGCATACAACTAGAGAATTTTATCTTTTTAACACACCTTGTTATTTATTGTTGTAACTTTTTGTGTTTTTAACTATTTTATTGTTTTTAATTACTTGTGTGATTCTTATGTTTTTAAATTACTTATGTGATTTTAATGCTTTTTAATTACATATGTGTTTTTAATTGTATTTTAATGGTGATGATTTGTGCATTGTGTGGTGTGGACTGTGAGGCGCTTTGTGTTGCCCTGTGCAGGAAAAGCGCCCTATAAATAAAGATTGATTGATTGATAATGTGATCCTACAAACTGACAAACCATGATTATTCATTTAGTTTGTGAGTTTTGGAGAATAATGTGCCTTCTTTTGTGTTAATCCAAATCACATCAATCAGGCCGTAGACAGAGCGCATCATGACCACTGTCTGTCTATGTCTCCCCCCCTCTCTCCCCCCTCCCTTCCCCTCACTCCCTGCACTTCAAACGCGGCCTAACGCGCTGATCACGGACAACAATTAGTCCTTAATGAAGTCGCTCAGTGGTGAGTTTACACTTGGTCCGCGGGGGGGCTGCGGTCGGTGGCTCCACGGAGTCTGGGCCGTTTGTCTGTGCAGTGCGCCCGGGCCCTGCTTCTTGTCTCCGGCCGCGGGGTGAAGACGTGACGCGATCGGAGCCGAGATATGAGTCCATCAGAGAAAGAGAGGTCCATCCGCGGCAAAACCCACGCAGCGCAGGCTTTGTAGTGCTAACGAGAGTCACTCATCTGCGGAGAGGATCAGCAGCGACGGCCCGGGAGAGAAACATCACAACAAGGGAGAAACCTAAGGCTGGCTCACATTTAAATGTTGTTTGATATTTACACAGGGCTCAACCAGTTTAGTGGCATTTCTATTCTCGCTGGTGCGGAAAGTTTGAAGACAACCAGACCAGGTAGAAACAGTCACACAAGGCGTTACGGTCATGAATGATCACAGTATATTAAAATTAAAGATACAAATATAAAATTATACAAATATAAAATCCTATACAGCTAATCAGAACTGTTTTAACCTGGATTTAAACATTGCCAGAGTAGAAGCCTGTCTCACATTTTCAGGAAGATTGTTCCAGATTTTAGCAGCATCACTCTGAAAACGCAGCCTCCACATGTTTAGTCCTGACTCTGGGACCAGCAGGAGGCCAGTCCCTGTGCTCCTCAGAGTCCCAGCAGGAGGCCAGTCCCTGTGCTCCTCAGAGTCCCAGCAGGAGGCCAGTCCCTGTGCTCCTCAGAGTCCCAGCAGGAGGCCAGTCCCTGTGCTCCTCAGAGTCCCAGCAGGAGGCCAGTCCCTGTGCTCCCCAGAGTCCCCGCATGAGGCCAGTCCCTGTGCTCCTCAGAGTCCCAGCAGGAGGCCAGTCCCTGTGCTCCTCAGAGTCCCAGCAGGAGGCCAGTCCCTGTGCTCCTCAGAGTCCCCGCATGAGGCCAGTCCCTGTGCTCCGCAGAGTCCCAGCAGGAGGCCAGTCCCTGTGCTCCTCAGAGTCCCAGCAGGAGGCCAGTCCCTGTGCTCCTCAGCGTCCCAGCAGGAGGCCAGTCCCTGTGCTCCTCAGAGTCCCAGCAGGAGGCCAGTCCCTGTGCTCCTCAGAGTCCCAGCATGAGGCCAGTCCCTGTGCTCCTCAGAGTCCCAGCAGGAGGCCAGTCCCTGTGCTCCTCAGAGTCCCCGCATGAGGCCAGTCCCTGTGCTCCTCAGAGTCCCAGTTATACTTTCCAGCAGTCTTCCTGAAAATGTGAGACAGGACTCTTCTCTGACAATGTTGAAATCAAGGTTGAAAACAGTTTAAATGCATCAGTTTATATTTTTCATGTTATGTTATGATGTATTATTTATTTAATGCCTGTATGTTTCCGTTGTGTTTTGTAAAACACGTAGTTTCCTTGTGTGTAAACTGTGATGTAGAAATAAACGTGCCTTGTATGTATTTGTACATATGTGTGTCTGTGTGCATTTTTAAGTCAAGTGAAAGTCCCTTTCTTTAGACAAAATAGCATCATTTATTGAATATAGATTTCAACATATCAGAAGAAACAGAATCAGGTGTGTTATGTGTATTGAGATTGGGAATTTCTTTGGCCACGGAACAGAAAACGTATAAAAAAAGAAATGATAAACAAGTAAAAACAGATCATTAATGAGTTTGTAATGATCCCACAGCCTGTGTTTGTGGAGCGCTGAGGTTACAGCAGAAACAGTATTTTACCACAGAACAATGTGTTTCTCAAACCAACACTGTCACACAACCCCGGAGCAAACATCTTCATATTTGATGATTTGATGAATTGATGAATTGATTTGCAAACAGTGCGGGGCCCCTCGCCTGTCTCTGTCAGGGCCCCTCCCGCAGCAAATGTCTCGTTAAAACAGGTCAACAAAGATCAAACGACCTCTTCTCACTTTCTATCTCCATGAGTCGCGCCCAAAGCAGCTCTCTGTGTGATCATAACAAAGGCCTCATCAAACCCGGCGCAGACCTGCAGACGCGTCTCAGTCCGCAACCCCCCCCCCGCCCCACACACACACACACACACACACACACACCACACCCTCTCTCTCTTCCACCCCACGAACTGGCGCAACTTGACGCAATTTTGATAGCGTTTGATGCATTTAGGGTTGATGCAATTAACTTTAGAGAAGAGCGAAGAAGAATCGTAGTTTATCTGTTTACTGTGTGTTTGTAGTGCGTGTCCGCGCCTTGATGGCTGGATGATCCGTTTTACGCACAAAAGGAGATGTCGGGTGGTTGATACTCAGACTGTGAGGCGCCACTGCCCCAGGACCAGCCACCGAGGTGAGAAAAGCCACAACCTCCCCTCTATTAAGCCCAATTACAGTAGCCATCAAGTTTCTATCGTTCCGCTGGGATCTGCATGCATATGCAAATGAGCGCGTGTGTGTCCTACATATACAGCAGGAGGAGTCAGGGATCAGCAGGACACACACACGCGCACGCACTCACACTTACATCATTTGTGGGTTTTTTGGCTTCGCTCCTGAGTCTCACCTGCAGCATGGCGAAGTTTACGATCGAGTGGCTTTCTCAGAGCTACTACAGCACGCAGGAGGACGCAGCGGTGGAAGACGCTTCGTTAAGGCCAAAGGGAGCAGAGGATTTCACGCCAGCGTCTCCAAACAGTAAGTTTCTGATCACCTTTGGGTTCTCCAGCTGCAGTACGAGCTGGAGTTTGGGTTAAAGAGTCATCATAATAACTGAAAGTTATGGAGAGATGCAGTAGACAGTTCGGCCATGCGAGGGTGGCTGAGTGGTTAGCGGTTTGAATTCAGGGTCGGAGCATGCAGGGCTTTTCTGAATGGAGGTTGCATGTTCTCCCTGTGTTTGTATAGGGTTCCTCTGGCTGCTCCGGGCACCACTAAAATGATCCTAAAAAAATCCTACAGCTCTAGTCCTGCAGAGCACCTATAACAACGGAGACATGTGCTCCTGACTGAGGCCCTGGCGGCATTGGAAGGAGTAAAGTAAATAAATGCATAATTTGAAAGTCGTGAGGCTGCTTTTTTTCAGCATAGACTGGGTTAATGGGAAGCAGAAAGTGCAGGACAATCTTAAGAATACCTGTTGTGCAATACGTTTGAGGCTCGTTGGAAGTTTAACATAAAGGCACCTTAAAATAGATTTTTTTAAGGAAACGCAATTGTGTTAGAATGAACCAGTCCAAGTCCAGACCTGAATACAATCCAGAAACATAGACCAATCCAGGGTGTGAAAACTTTTGTTCACGGTCCTTTTAATGTGATGGAGCTTGAGCTGTTAAGAGACGCATTTGGGGGATTACAAGTGGAATTGAGACATGCAGACTGAGCAAATGAACTGATTATGAACTGTCTTGTTTTTTTTCTTTCCAGACAGTTGTGGCTACACGTCCGCCTCTGACAGCAGCGACCTGGGGGAGGACAGTGAAGAGGCCGCGCGCAGAGTCCGGACCAAGTTCAGCTCGGACCAGATCCACAAACTCGAAGCCACCTTCAACAAGCACCGCTACCTGGGCGCGTCTCAGAGGAGGAAAATCGCGGAAAAGCTGCATCTGTCCGAGACGCAGGTCAAGACGTGGTTCCAGAACAGGAGGATGAAGCTGAAGCGCGAGGTGCAAGACATGCGCACTGAGTTCTTGGCCGTTCCGAGCGCGCTGCTGCCTCCGGGCATGTTTCAGCACCACCAGGCCTGTGGACAGTTCCCCGGGGCCAGCGTAGGCTTGTATCCGCTTCAGGAGCCTCACAGAGCGGCCTCACACCAGGACTGGGCCCGTCACCAGCGGTACCACCCGTACACACTGCCTGCGCATCACGTGACTCCAGTTTATTACTAAAACCCGGACTGCTCTAAAGGACTTTGTCTAGAATCTAGATGTATCTCCTGCTCGTTTGGAAGAGCTGTAAATTATTGTTTGATGACTAAGCACTATTTATATATGTTTACATGTTTAATAAAACTTAATACTAATTTAATTTACTCGTCAACTTTTATTATTCCTGTTATTTTGAAGTTTTAAAGTATGGAAGTATGCTAGTTAGTAGGAGGTGGCTGCTTTTAAAGTGCCCGCTTCACTGTCATAGGTTGGTAGGAGCCTGGCAGAGCTCTGTGATTGGCTGAGGATGGAAAGGCTGGCAGAGCTCTGTGATTGGCTGAGGATGGAGAGGCTGGCAGAGCTCTGTGATTGGCTGAGGATGGAGAGGCTGGCAGAGCTCTGTGATTGGCTGAGGATGGAGAGGCTGGCAGAGCTCTGTGATTGGCTGAGGATGGAGAGGCTGGCAGAGCTCTGTGATTGGCTGAGGATGGAGAAGCTGGCAGAGCTCTGTGATTGGCTGAGGATGGAGAGGCTGGCCCTGAAGGGGATGAAACTGCAGTCTGAAGTCTCCCATATCTCTGACCATTTGACCACAGGGATTCGTTTTAAGTTATAAACTGCTGTTTTAAGATCATAAAGTCTGATGATAAACTGTCTCCTGATATGAAGAGATAGTTGGAGCCGTTTACAGACACAGATAGAGCCTTCTCCTGAACAAACATTGTAAAATGTTTTAAAAGTGTCTCCACAAAGAGAAAATCCTTCAACCAAATACCTGTTTGGGATATTGGTTTGGGACTGTGGTTATCACCACAGCCATGTCCTGGATAAGCAGTTTAGCAGAGACACAGATATAACCGGGTCCACATATGCAGCTCAGGATCCAGTTCTCTGTAAAGTGACTGGACATTTATTAACCTCCCTTTGGACCAATGGCTTGTATGGGTTTGAACCGTTCGAATCTCTGATGTGTTGTTGGTGAATCGACATTTTTTTAAAGTCCTCATGACATCTGTTGTAGTTTAAGGCAAAACAAAAGTTAATTTCATGTAAAGTCATGTTCCCACGTTTAAATCCCATAACCATGGCTTTAATACAAACCTACAAAATAGAGTCCATTAGATGTGTGAGATTTCATAACACTTTAAAGCAACTTTTGTTAAAGTTAAACTCATCATTCTATCAATGTGCAGAAGCCAGTACTTTTCCCTTGTTGTGTCTATCTGAAGGCCAAGCTACAAGCACACCGTGGAAGCTGCTGATTGGAGGTCTCCATGCCTCCGCTCTGTATAATACACTTGCATTCTGTGTTCGTGTTGTTCGTGCCGTCTCTACCATCGACAATAAAACATGTCTTCTGTCTGAATTTAAGACGCGATCCCAGACTATGACATCTTCTTCAGGTGGTGGAAGGATGCGGGCCTTGTCTGTAACATCTACAGAACAGAAGACTTTTTTTTTTTACACAAAAATGTGTTTTTTTTTTAAGCCAAAACTGAGAAACCTCAAGAGAAACCATGCATCTGGACCAGCACACTTGGACTATCTGCACAGCCCCTGATTCCAGTCAGGCTGTGAGCTGCTGAGACATGGACAATACCATCGTCCTCTTTTGCATGGACACCATTTGGAACAATTGGATTTCTGAATTTGGACATAATTTGGACTGAATTGAATTTTTGAATCTGGACACTGAAGCTGAAACGTGTGATTGAAAGACACGTCACAGAAGAATTCATGGCTCGACACAAATGCAGCCTGAAGAAGCCAACAGAGAAGTGGGAGAGACTGTTTTCAAAGCAATATCTGAGAACCATCGACTGATGAAGTTTGGTATTTTACTGAAGATTGTTGACAAGTTTTATGAAAGATCTGAAAATGTTTTATGAGTTTTATGAGTTTTTGAAGTATTCCGAGTTCTGAGTTTTTTGAAGTACCGAGTGAAGTACCGAGTTTATGAGTTTTTGAAATATTGAGTGATGATGTTATGTTGCTGTTTATCGATCCTGATGGTCACACGTGAATGTATGCCCAGAGGGGGGAATGTGAGATTTCATAACACTTTAAAGCAACTTTTGTTAAAGTTAAACTCATCATTCTATCAATGTGCAGAAGCCAGTACTTTTCCCTTGTTTTGTCTATCTGAAGGCCAAGCTACAAGCACACCGTGGAAGCTGCTGATTGGAGGTCTCCATGCCTCCACTCTGTATAATACACTTGCATTCTCTTGTATCTGTGATCGTGTGCTTTGATCGTGCTGTCTCTACCATCGACAATAAAACATGTCTTCTGTCTGAATTTAAGACGCGATCCCAGACTATGACATCTTCTTCAGATTCATCTTCTCCGACCCCTGATGATACCATCTCCTCTCGTTCCCCTCTTCCCCCTTGTGCCCCCCGCCCCCCTGTGCACCGGGACACTGTGACTGCAGTCCACAGACGCGCCACGTTTCCAACGCAGACGTCAGCGTCAGTTGCAGGTTCAGAGTGACTTCAAAGGCCGACGTAAGAGCGACATCATGGGCATCACTGAGGCCTTTGTCTCGGGATGGATCAGTTACAGCTTCTTGAAAAACACTGACGCAGAAAGATGTGTATTGCCGTTACTTGTACCCCACGTTACTCAGTTATTACCGGATAAATGCCCCATGATGGGGGTGATGGGGGTGAGGTCCAGAGCGCGTCCCTCTCTGTGGGTGAGGCCCAGAGCGCGTCTCTCTCTGTGGGTGAGGCCCGGAGCACGTCTCGACTTTATACTGACACTTCATGGATAAAAAATGAAGTAATAAAACAAAGACATACAAATAAACTACACCATAAACATAAAATGTCACAAAGTTAAGAAGAGTATTTTGAAACGAAAAAATTGACTGCATGCTTTGGTTCTAGTGAGAAAGAAAAACTGTATTTATTATTTTTGACCTTAAAACAATAAGGTAAGTAAATAATCTCGTGTTTTTAACGTGAAATAATATCTTCAGGAGAAATCATGCGATGAATAACATGCAACTCCCTCCGCTGCCACCAGAGGGCGGAGTCGAATTATTTATTTGTTTATCTATTACTTGTTCTGACCATGTACCAGAAAGACCAGATAGAGACCAGATAGAAACCAGAGAGACCAGAGAAAGACCAGAAAGAGACCAGAGAGAGACCAGAGAGAGACCAGAGAGAGACCAGATAGAGACCAGAGAAAGACCAGAAAGAGACCAGAGAGAGACCAGAGAGACACCAGAGAGAGAGACCAGAGAGAGAGACCAGAGAGAGAGACCAGAGAGAGAGCAGAGAGAGGCCAGAGAGAGACCAGAGAGACACCAGAGAGAGACCAGAGAGAGACCAGAGACATCATAACCCCCCAGTCCTCTGTTCATGCTGCTACTTTAACTAAATTTACTTTTTATTTGTGACGTAAGACGACCTCGAGAGTCCAGAAAGACGCCAAAGAAATAAAATGTATTATTACTAATTAAAACATAAATCTCACTGGGTTAAAAAAGGTTAAATCCACTGTTTTACTTCGATCTGTACCTATTGCTCTTCATAAATCGTGGCCATTTAAAAATTAAACTTCATAAATATTGACACAAAGCATCTCGGAGGGCGGGATCAGACGAGTACAATCCCATGGCTGAGCGAGTCCTTTAATGAGAAAAGCTGATTCATTCTGGAGCCACTGGAGCATGTGTGGCCATCTCCAGCTCCGACCGCTCTAATCACATCTCTAAATGACCTGTTGTAATATGCACTGAATGACAATCAGTCTGCAGCACACTCAAGGGCACAGCGGGCACAGGGGGCAGGTATCAGGCCCGGTCTGGACCTGGACCTGGACTCACATGGGCCTGACTCTGCTGCTCAGTATGGGACGTCATGATGGTTTGGGCTTTGATAAGTGTAAAGTAATAATAATAATAATAATAATGCATTTCTCTCCATTTTAGGCAATGTGTGTCATGGTTAAGTTTTATTTCCTGTTTTATTTAGTAATTTACTAACCCCTGTGTCTTCATTAGCTGTATTTCCTGTTTACCTGCCCCGCCCCCATGTGTCTCACCTGTTTACCGTTATTCTTGTATTTAAACGCTGTGTTTTCCTTCACTCCTGGTTCCATGATTGTCATTCTCTTCTGTCAGTGGGGACTGTCTGGTTCCTCAATCCAGAGCCTCGGTCAGTGGGGACTCTCTGGTTCCTCAGTCCCGAGCCTCTGTCAATGGGGACTGTCTGGTTCCTCAGTCCAGAGCCTCAGTCAGTGGGGACTGTCTGGTTCCTCAGTCCAGAGCCTCAGTCAGTGGGGACTGTCTGGGTCCTCAGTCCAGAGCCTCGGTCAGTGGGGACTGTCTGGGTCCTCAGTCCAGAGCCTCGGCCAGTGGGGACGGTCTGGTTCCTCAGTCCAGAGCCTCAGTCAGTGGGGACTGTCTGGGTCCTCAGTCCAGAGCCTCGGTCAGTGGGGACTGTCTGGGTCCTCAGTCCAGAGCCTCTGTCAGTGGGGACTGTCTGGGTCCTCAGTCCAGAGCCTCGGTCAGTGGGGTCGGTCTGGTTCCTCTCAGTCCAGAGCCTCGGTCAGTGGGGACTGTCTGGGTCCTCAGTCCAGAGCCTTGGTCAGTGGGGACTGTCTGGGTCCTCAGTCCAGAGCCTCGGTCAGTGGGGTCGGTCTGGTTCCTCAGTCCAGAGCCTCGGTCAGTGGGGACTGTCTGGTTCCTCAGTCCAGAGCCTCGGTCAGTGGGGACTGTCTGGTTCCTCAGTCCAGAGCCTCGGTCAGTGGGGACGGTCTGGTTCCTCAGTCTGGAGCCTCGGTCAGTGGGGACGGTCTGGTTCCTCAGTCTGGAGCCTCGGTCAGTGGGGACTGTCTGGTTCCTCAGTCCAGAGCCTCGGTCAGTGGGGACTGTCTGGTTCCTCAGTCCAGAGCCTCGGTCAGTGGGGTCGGTCTGGTTCCTCAGTCTGGAGCCTCGGTCAGTGGGGACTGTCTGGTTCCTCAGTCCAGAGCCTCGGTCAGTGGGGACGGTCTGGTTCCTCAGTCCAGAGCCTCGGTCAGTGGGGACTGTCTGGTTCCTCAGTCCAGAGCCTGTCTCCAGAGCTCGTCAGTGGGGACTGTCTGGTTCCTCAGTCCAGAGCCTCGGTCAGTGGGCGTCTGGTTCTCAGTCCAGAGCCTCGGTCAGTGGGGACTGTCTGGTTCCTCAGTCCAGAGCCTCGGTCAGTGGGGTCGGTCTGGTTCCTCAGTCCAGAGCCTCGGTCAGTGGGGACGGTCTGGTTCCTCAGTCGGAGCCTCGGTCAGTGGGGACGGTCTGGTTCCTCAGTCCAGAGCCTCGGTCAGTGGGGACTGTCTGGTTCCTCAGTCCAGAGCCTCGGTCAGTGGGGACGGTCTGGTTCCTCAGTCCAGAGCCTCGGTCAGTGGGGTCGGTCTGGTCCCAGTCGCTCTCTGGCGTCTGGTTCCTCAGTCCGAGCCTCGGTCAGTGGGGACGGTCTGGTTCCTCAGTCCAGAGCCTCGGTCAGTGGGGACTGTCTGGTTCCTCAGTCCAGAGCCTCGGTCAGTGGGGACTGTCTGGTTCCTCAGTCCAGAGCCTCGGTCAGTGGGGTCGGTCTGGTTCCTCAGTCAGAGCCTCGGTCAGTGGGGACTGTCTGGTTCCTCAGTCCAGAGCCTCGGTCAGTGGGGACTGTCTGGTTCCTCAGTCCAGAGCCTCGGTCAGTGGGGACTGTCTGGTTCCTCAGTCCAGAGCCTCGGTCAGTGGGGACTGTCTGGTTCCTCAGTCCAGAGCCTCGGTCAGTGGGACGTCTGGTCCGTCCAGGCTCGTCAGGGCGTCTGGTTCCTCAGTCCAGAGCCTCGGTCAGTGGGGACGATCTGGTTCCTCAGTCCGGAGCCTCTGTCAGTGGGGACTGTCTGGTTCCTCAGTCTGGAGCCTCGGTCAGTGGGGACTGTCTGGTTCCTCAGTCCAGAGCCTCGGTCAGTGGGGACTGTCTGGTTCCTCAGTCCAGAGCCTCGGTCAGTGGGGACTGTCTGGTTCCTCAGTCCAGAGCCTCGGTCAGTGGGGACGGTCTGGTTCCTCAGTCTGGAGCCTCGGTCAGTGGGGACGGTCTGGTTCCTCAGTCCAGAGCCTCGGTCAGTGGGGACTGTCTGGTTCCTCAGTCCAGAGCCTCGGTCAGTGGGGACTGTCTGGTTCCTCAGTCCAGAGCCTCGGTCAGTGGGGTCGGTCTGGTTCCTCAGTCTGGAGCCTCGGTCAGTGGGGACTGTCTGGTTCCTCAGTCCAGAGCCTCGGTCAGTGGGGACTGTCTGGTTCCTCAGTCCAGAGCCTCGGTCAGTGGGGACTGTCTGGTTCCTCAGTCCAGAGCCTCGGTCAGTGGGGACTGTCTGGTTCCTCAGTCCAGAGCCTCGGTCAGTGGGGTCGGTCTGGTTCCTCAGTCCAGAGCCTCGGTCAGTGGGGACAATCTGGTTGCTCAGTCCAGAGCCTCGGTCAGTGGGGACGATCTGGTTCCTCAGTCCGGAGCCTCTGTCAGTGGGGACTGTCTGGTTCCTCAGTCTGGAGCCTCGGTCAGTGGGGACTGTCTGGTTCCTCAGTCCAGAGCCTCGGTCAGTGGGGACTGTCTGGTTCCTCAGTCCAGAGCCTCGGTCAGTGGGGACTGTCTGGTTCCTCAGTCCAGAGCCTCGGTCAGTGGGGTCGGTCTGGTTCCTCAGTCCAGAGCCTCGGTCAGTGGGGACGGTCTGGTTCCTCAGTCTGGAGCCTCGGTCAGTGGGGACTGTCTGGTTCCTCAGTCCAGAGCCTCGGTCAGTGGGGACGGTCTGGTTCCTCAGTCTGGAGCCTCGGTCAGTGGGGTCGGTCTGGTTCCTCAGTCTGGAGCCTCGGTCAGTGGGGACTGTCTGGTTCCTCAGTCCAGAGCCTCGGTCAGTGGGGACTGTCTGGTTCCTCAGTCCAGAGCCTCGGTCAGTGGGGACTGTCTGGTTCCTCAGTCCAGAGCCTCGGTCAGTGGGGACTGTCTGGTTCCTCAGTCCAGAGCCTCGGTCAGTGGGGACGGTCTGGTTCCTCAGTCTGGAGCCTCGGTCAGTGGGGACTGTCTGGTTCCTCAGTCCAGAGCCTCGGTCAGTGGGGACTGTCTGGTTCCTCAGTCCAGAGCCTCGGTCAGTGGGGACTGTCTGGTTCCTCAGTCCAGAGCCTCGGTCAGTGGGGACTGTCTGGTTCCTCAGTCCAGAGCCTCGGTCAGTGGGGTCGGTCTGGTTCCTCAGTCCAGAGCCTCGGTCAGTGGGGACAATCTGGTTCCTCAGTCCAGAGCCTCGGTCAGTGGGGACAATCTGGTTCCTCAGTCCAGAGCCTCGGTCAGTGGGGACGATCTGGTTCCTCAGTCCGGAGCCTCTGTCAGTGGGGACTGTCTGGTTCCTCAGTCCAGAGCCTCGGTCAGTGGGGACTGTCTGGTTCTCAGTCCAGAGCCTCGGTCAGTGGGGACTGTCTGGTTCTCAGTCCAGAGCCTCTGTCAGTGAGGACTGTCTGGTTCCTCAGTCCAGAACATCGTTGGGTCAGTCCAACTTTTCCTTCGATGGAGCCAAACTGTGGAACGCTCTTCCCACTGACCTAAAACTACAAACAGACTCAAACATCTTCGTCTGAAACGGAGGCTGAAATCGAAACAACGTTGTTCACACGATTAAGGAACTGTATATTTAATTACTTTTGTAAATTATAAACATGTGCATGTGTGTCCTAGAAGCTGTCTATGGACACGTGTTGAACATTAGCCTGGTCTTGCTATAACACTAAAGGCATCTGGTCTGTCCAATGTAACTGTTGTGTCCGTGTTAAATAAATAAATAAAACATCTCTTTTTGTTCTTGTTCTCAAGCCCTGTTTTCTATCTTTCGATTTTGGTTTTTATTATATTTTATTAAATCCTTCCGTATTTTGTTTTGTGAAAATGTGTGTGAGGTGTCTTGCCTTAGGACACATACAGCCGCAGCCGCTCCACTGTGGTACCTGGTGTTCCCAGAGGTCTCCCATCACAGTACTAACCAGGCCCTGCCCCACACAGTTGCAGAGGTCTGACGGGCTCTGGCTTTAGCAGGTGTGGCCACATAAAACTTACACTTTATAGAAATCTGTGTTCCAGCCACACGCAAGACAAATATTTAGTTTTTAGGGTGAACTTCAGTGACTTTTCTCTGTTTTGATGTCTTTCACAGTCTTATTTGGGTCTGTGCATCTCTGGGACCATCTTCGAGTTTTGACCAATGCTTTCTATTGTTTTTTGTGTTTCCATCTCTTCAGTCCCTGGGTTAGCGTTTGACAAATTGACAAATTGATGAATTGACAGAAATACCAAAAAAAAGTCCAAACTTTTACTAGTCGATTACTAAGTTGCAACCGTCCTGGAGCGATACAAAAGCGGCACGGTGGCTGAGTGGATAGCACTCTCGCCTCTCAGCAAGAAGGTCCTGGGTTCGAATCCCGGTCGGACCTGGGCCTTTCTGAGTGGAGTTTGCATGTTCTCCCCGTGTCTGCGTAGGTTTCCTCCGGGTACTCCGGTTTCCCCTACCGCTAAAAATATGTACAATAGTTCTGACATGCGCCTCCTGTACTGGCGACCCCGCTCCCATCTCTGTGTGGAGTGAGAGGACAAGTGTCCAAAAAAAAAACACAAAAACATAACAATTGTAAACCGCTTTGAGACTCAGCTCTGCAGTGAAAAGGCGGTATATAAATAATTACTTACTTACTTACTTACTAAAAGAATCCACTCAAAATGTGAAAGATCAAAATGTGAAAGATACAGTGTAAGTAGTAGTAGTAGTAATCTTTATTTATATACCGCCTTTTCACTGCAGATCTGAGTCTCAAAGCGGTTTACAATTGTTAATTTTTGGGCATTTGTCTCTCTCTCCACACAGAGATGGGAGCAGGGTCGCCAGTACAGGAGGCGCATGCTAGAACTATTGGAGCAATTTTTAGTGGTACGGGAAACCGGAGTACCCGGAGGAAACCTACGCAGACACGGGGAGAACATGCAAACTCCACTCAGAAAGGCCCTGGTCCGACCTGGATTCGAACCCAGGACCTTCTTGCTGAGAGGCGAGAGTGCTATCCACTCAGCCACCGTGCCGCAGTGAACTTCACTCCTGAAGTTCACTGCACTTTTCTCTGTTGTGATCATTGTGAGCAGTTGGTTTTGTGTATCTCTGGGACCATCATCTCCTGTTTATCGATCTGAACTAGCAACGTGTATTTTCCACTTCAAATCCAGATGCTAAAGTATCAGTACATTCAGTCATGTTTATTGATAAATGCAGCAAGAAACTACAAAAACACACACATTCTAACACTGAAATGCAAAGGTGATATATTCTCTAAAGGTCTAATTTTGAAACTACGCCAACATTAGAAGCTTATATCAGGCATTAAAACTCTGCAGCATTTACATCAACTCTTTTTGATTATAACTTTTATCGTTACAGATATACGTTTTTGTGTGATTATCACAATATTACTTATATTTAAGTATATATCTATGTTTCTCATGTTTTATTGTTTTTAGTCCTATAATGTTTTACTGTTTCCTGTTGTGACGCTCCCACTCATGTCTTCTGTTGTTGTGTCCTTGGGCAAGACATTTCAGACAGTTGCTTATCTGTTTTTGAAAAGCAGCAGAGGGAGTGAGGCCACGGACCATGAACAGCTCTGTGGACCATGAGCGGCTCCGCGGACCATGAGCATCTCCGTGGACCATGAGCGGCTCTGCGGACCATGAGCGGCTCCGTTGACCATGAGCATCTCCGTGGACCATGAGCGGCTCCGTGGACCATGAGCAGCTTTGTGGACCATGAGCAGCTCCATGGACCATGAGCAACTCCGTGGACCATGAGCAGCTCCGTGGACCATGAACAGCTCTGTGGACCATGAGCAGCGCTGTGGCCCATGAGCAGCTCCGTGGACCATGAGCATCTCCGTGGACCATGAGCAGCTCTGTGGACCATGAACAGCTCTGTGGACCATGAGCATCTCCGTGGACCATGAGCAGCTCTGTGGACCATGAACAGCTCTGTGGACCGCACTGTTCCAAAGCGCTGCTAAAAAGTAAAAATTCCTTCGGTGGAATTACATTTATTAGATTTGGATTTCAGGAACAACGAGTTTATTTTAAAACAGAAGCAAAAAAGAACACTTTGAAAAGATGAAAAGGTTCAACTTTCACTGCCTTCACATTTTATTAAAATTGGGAGGAAAGATAACAGTCTTGGAAAAAACTAAACAGACTCTGAGAAAGTCTGTGTTCAATTTAGAAGCTTGTTTCATGAACTGTATTAAAGGCTCAAATTCTGGGAAAAACACAAAAATACTTCATCACTTCCCGATGATGTTTTGGGTCTGAAAATGCAAATTTATGAAAGCAGGTTTGAGAGTTGAAAGATCAGTCAAGATCAGAGTGAGAGACCAGAGAGAGGCCAGAGAAAGACAAGAGTGAGAGACCTGAGAGAGACCAGAGAGAGACCAGAGAGAGACCAGAGAGAGACCAGAGAGAGACCAGAGAGAGACCTGAGAGAGACCAGACAGAGAGACCTGAGAGACCAGTGTAAGACCAGAGGAAGACCAGAGTGACAGACCTGAGAGAGAGAGACCAGAGGGAGTAACCAGAGTGAGAGACCAGAGTCCATACAAGGCCTGTGTTTTGCGGCTTAAAACTCTTTACAAGCTGAGGAGACCCTGTGCTCCTCACAGTCCCAGCAAGAGGTCAGTCCCTGTACTCCTCATAGTCCCAGCAGGAGGCCAGTCCCTGTGCTCCTCAGAATCCCAGGAGGAGGCCAGTCCCTGTGCTCCTCAGAGTCCGACTTGGCACTAAAATGTCACAGATGTACTTTGGTGTGAGACTTGTATACAAACAGAACTGCTTTAAAGTCTGAACCACAAGAAGCCAGTGGGATTCTCTGCACTCACCTGCTCATCCTGGTCTCCCCTGCTCCTCCTGGTCTCCCCAGATCCTGTTGTGTCTCGTCCCTAAATCTCCACCCAGCTCTTGGTCTCCTATCTCCACTCAGCTCAGTCGGTCTGCTCAACCTCCAGCTTGTGTTGTAAATAAACTTGTTAAACTTCCGTCTCGGCCTCTGCTTTGGCGTCCTGTATCTGAACTGGCCGTTACTGCTCGGACCATTAAGAACTTTGAATCACATTTACGCTTTACAAAAGCCATAATCCTCCATTTCTTTTCTCTCATTACAAACAAGCATCCAGAGTGCGCCTCTAGTGGCCACTCTCATTAGTGCCCAAAGTGTCCAAAAGCGACTGACATGGGACTTCCCTACAACTGTGCAGTAGTTCAAACAAGTTGGTACTAAACATGAGTGAGATTCGTGACTTTAGAAGTTCAACCAATTTAAAAAAGAAATAGAGAAAGTATATGTTTCAAATGTAATCTTTCATCTATAGTAAATGTCATCAAAATTAAAGCTATTTTATGCACAAGAAAAGCAATTATCTGACCTTAATTCTCCGATATATATTCATTTTATCCCATTGATTCTGTTTTCCAATCGTCAGCGTTGTGGTTGCTGTCTGCGGTATGTCATTAATGTGAGTTGTCTGGCTTTGTGTATGAACCGTGCTATGCAAATAAATGTGACTCGCCTTGTTCCAACTACAACATAAACTAAATCCTGGGGTGTTTCGTCATGTTTTTGATAATATTACAATGTGTATATTTAGACTAGAATTTAACTAGAATCTTAAAGTAGAATCATTTGTGAGAAAGAGTCACTATTTGACACTTAGCAAGAAACGGGTTTGATTGTATTATTATTATATATGTATTTTTTGAGTGTTTTAAACGTTAGCTACTCCAGCAACCATTAAAAAACTAGGTAAAACTTGGCAAAATCTTGAATACATCTATTGTAACTGTGTGAAATTAGCCAAACTATCATACGAGGTTGAAAATAACATTCATGAAACATTGCTTAAGTGCATGTTCTGCTCATACAAAGAGAAGCCAGTCATTCTAATAAACAGTATTTATTTTTGCAGCATTGAAAAACACAAAACAATATTGAATATATGAAGTTTTCTTTCACATAAAAACCATGATTGTTGGTGGTCAGCTGCTGGTCTTGGGTCTTGGGGGCGGTGGAATACCTCTGCAGCCCCATTTTCCCATGCCCTATGCCTCTTTAATGTTAGGTCTCAAAGAGGTATATGCATAGGAAAAAGGAACAGCGAGTCCGGGTCTGATCAGCCGTCCACATCTCTAAACACACAGGAGAGAGACCAGAGAGAGACCAGAGAGAGACCAGGGAGACACCAGGGAGAGACCAGGGAGAGAGACCAGAGAGAGACCAGAGAGAGACCAGAGAGAGACAAGAGAGACACCAGAGAGAGACCAGAGAGAGACCAGAGAGAGACCAGAGAGAGACCAGAGAGAGACCAGAGAGAGACAAGAGAGACACCAGAGAGAGACCAGAGAGAGACCAGAGAGAGACCAGAGAGAGACCAGAGAGAGACCAGGGAGAGACCAGGGAGAGAGACCAGAGAGAGACCAGAGAGAGACCAGGGAGAGAGACCAGAGAGAGACCAGAGAGAGACCAGGGAGAGAGACCAGAGAGAGAGACCAGAGAGAGACCAGAGAGAGACCAGGGAGAGAGACCAGAGAGAGACCAGAGAGAGACCAGGGAGAGAGACCAGAGAGAGACCAGAGAGAGACCAGAGAGAGACCAGAGAGAGAGACCAGAGAGAGACCAGGGAGAGAGACCAGAGAGAGACCAGAGAGAGACCAGAGAGAGACCAGGGAGAGAGACCAGAGAGAGACCAGAGAGAGACCAGGGAGAGAGACCAGAGACAGACCAGGGAGAGAGACCAGAGAGAGACCAGAGAGAGACCAGGGAGAGAGACCAGAGAGAGACCAGAGAGAGACCAGAGAGAGACCAGAGAGACCAGAGAGAGACCAGAGAGAGACCAGAGAGAGACCAGAGAGAGGCCAGAGAGAGACCAGAGAGAGACCAGGGAGAGACCAGAGTGAGACCAGAGAGAGGCCAGAGAGAGGCCAGAGAGAGACCAGAGAGAGACCAGAGAGAGACCAGAGAGACCAGAGAGAGACCAGAGAGAGACCAGAGAGAGACCAGAGAGAGGCCAGAGAGAGACCAGAGAGAGACCAGAGAGAGACCAGAGTGAGACCAGAGAGAGGCCAGAGAGAGGCCAGAGAGAGACCAGAGAGAGACAAGAGAGAGACCAGGGAGAGACCAGAGTGAGACCAGAGAGAGGCCAGAGAGAGGCCAGAGAGAGACCAGAGAGAGACCAGAGAGAGACCAGAGAGAGACCAGAGAGAGACCAGAGAAAGACCAGGGAGAGACCAGGGAGAGAGACCAGAGAGAGACCAGAGAGAGACCAGGGAGAGAGACCAGGGAGAGAGACCAGAGAGAGACCAGAGAGAGACCAGAGAGAGACCAGAGAGAGACAAGAGAGAGACCAGAGAGAGACCAGAGAGAGACCAGAGAGAGACCAGAGAGAGACCAGAGAGAAACCAGAGAGAGACCAGAGAGAGACCAGAGAGAAACCAGAGAGAGACCAGAGATAGACCAGAGAGAGACCAGAGAGAGGCCAGAGAGAGACCAGAGAGAGGCCAGAGAGAGACCAGAGAGAGACCAGAGAGAGACCAGAGAGAAACCAGAGAGAGACCAGAGAGAGACCAGAGAGAGACCAGAGATAAACCAGAGAGAGACCAGAGAGAGACCAGAGAGAGACCAGAGAGAGACCAGAGAGAGACCAGAGAGAGACCAAAGAGAGACCAGAGAGACACCAGAGAGAGACAAGAGAGACACTAGAGAGAGACCAGAGAGACACCAGAGAGAGACCAGAGAGAGACCAGAGAGAGACCAGAGAGAAACCAGAGAGAGACCAGAGAGAGACCAGAGAGAGGCCAGAGAGAGAGCAGAGAGAGACCAGAGAGAGACCAGAGAGAGACCAGAGAGAGACCAGAGAGAGACCAGAGAGAGACCAGAGAGAGACCAGAGAGAACCAGAGAGAGACCAGAGAGAGACCAGAGAGAGACCAGAGAGACACCAGAGAGAGACCAGAGAGAGACCAGAGAGAGACCAGAGAGAGACCAGAGAGAGACCAGAGAGAGGAACCAGTGTGAGACCAGCGAGAGGGACCAGAGAGAGACCAGTGTGAGACCAAGAAAGACCATACATAGGGAAAAAAGGAGCAGCGAGTCCAGTTCAAATCAGTCGTAGTCATCTGAAAAAACACAAAAGCAAAGACATAATTTAGATCAAATGAGACTTTCCGAACGAAGCAGAGAGAGAAAAAATGTGTGAGAGGAAAAAAAACTTTACAATGTCCTTCAGTGGTTTTTTAGTGGGAATAATATTAGGTAAGAATTGACTGTTTTTCATTTTGGTAGTTTTCTGTGAATTATTGACTTATGAATTGCTTACAATCATTTAAAACCATTTTGATACAGTCAAGGCATTTAGGATGTACTCCAGAAATCAAGAAATAAGTTTTTAGTTGAATTAGACGATGTTAATTGAAGACCTGTGTTTTCTGGATGAATGCATTACACAAATATACTTATAACTGTAAGGCTGAGGTTGTTAGTGTGTTATTTGGATTCAAGTAAAGTTTGGGGACAAGCTAAAATATTGCAGTTTAAGAGAGGAAGCGATTTTGATCCCATTCAGACTGAGTATTCCAGTGTCTCTTCAAAATTGCTATACATTTGTGAATTTCCTGTTCGTAAATCTAGTTTTAAGACGGAGACAAATCACAAAAAACAATACATATTCAAATAAATCGAAGTGTTTTCGGTCTGTTCAGAAAGTTAGTGTGTGGGTGGCATTTTTTGCAGTGTAAAGCAGATTTGGGATGCATTGAGAAAAGTTGTACAAAGCATATTCAAAGCTGGTGTGCCTAACATCAAAACAAAATCTAAATTGAAAGTAAAATCTACGTAACTTACTCTCAAACACTTTGGTTCTACTTGTCTCCGCATGTATATATTGTCGGCCTCAGAC